ATAGCATATTTTTCATAATGTATAATATAAAGCCAAATATATATATATATATATTTTAAGAAATTTTAATAGTATTTTAATTGTATTGAATGTTATGTTCTATTCCAAAAAAATTGTAATTAGTAAATAGATAAAAAGAATTAATGTTGCACCAAAGCTCGCGCAATGCTAAACTCTTGAAGCACTGGATTTAGGATCTGGGAAATGATCTGGGGAATAATAGTCCAGTTTGCCAATATGCGCCTGAAATAAAACTCTTATCACGCCTGAAAAGAATATAGTTTCTGAAACTAAGTAAAACAAATTAGTGTGTGCAGGCAAGTTGGCAAAAGGAGCGTAGGAGCATTGATCATTTAAGATAAAAAAAATAATTTTGCGTATAATTAGTAATTCACAAGACATCGATACAAATAAAATATTCGGAGATATCTTATCGCACATTATGAAAATTTTATCACAAATGATCAAAGATCACAATTTGCAAATGGGAGACGTTCAAGAGTTTATAATTTTTTGTTTGCTAAATTGTGCCAATTCTATGTGATTTTTTGATAGACTTACTTCAAAAACGCAAAAATATATTAAAATTGATATATGTATTAAATTATTTCAATCATATTTTTTTAAATATGTATACATTAAAAAATCTGATAGAAAAGCAGCTTTAAAAATAATTATACATAAACATGAATTATTATATAAGTGAAAAATTAATTTAACAAAGAGAACACAAAATATTAATATTAAAATTATCATAAAAATATAACATGCGCAACAGATTGTAAAACGAGATTTATGTATATGTCAATTTCACTATTGATGTAAAATAATGGAATTAAATATGTAGATATATCTATAATCTTTGCGATATATAAGAAGTATGTCCATCATATAGCGAAACCGTGAAAATAAATGTGCTTTATACACATTGATTTTTCAAGCTATTGCAACGCTGCTTCTATGCATATATTTCTCGCTCGTATTAAACGAGACAATATCTTTTGTAAAGTCCCAAACAAAAATTTAGAAATGCAACTATCACTGCAATGTTTGAAACTTCGTTATTTCGCGCGCTTTCTGCCGTGTTACTCAAAGACTGTTAAACCGCATACATGTGTAGCTGCCCTGGGTAAACGTCGTCATCGTCGATGGGAATCTGCCAAACGCTATCAACAAGACAAAAAAACACAGAAATGCAAGTTAGTAAATGAATCAAAGCTGTACTGATCCTGATACATTTACATTCCACGGGAGCATATCATTACAGATTTCAAATCACTGCATATAATTTTGGGAATAAATACATTAAGAAGAACATAAATAATCATATACGTATATTTTTCAATTTAAATTTAATTTTAATATTAAATATAATTATACAAAAATGTAGAAAAAATAA